TTTGTGATTGTGAGACAGGATACGTGTTACACATGATTCTGTACTCGGCTAGTGATGTAGACATTCCCGGTAACGACGAACATGGATTCTCGGGGAGTGTAGTGAAGACCATCATGGCTCCGTGGATGAACAAGGGACACATTTTATACACAGATAATTACTATACAAGTCCCTTGCTAGCTCGATTCTTGCTAGAAAATAGAACCGGATTGGTTGGTACAGTAAAGCCACAACGAAGGGAAATGCCTGTGTTTGACAACGACATTGCAGTTGGTGAGTGTCAGAGAAGGAAAAGTGATAACATTCTGTCAGTTCGGTGGAAAGACAAAAGAGAGGTGAACTTGTTGACAACAATTCATGATGGAACAATGGTGAACAGTGGGAAAGTGAGCCATAAAACAAACGCACCACTATATAAGCCAGACTGTGTTTTAGACTATAATATCAACATGCGGTTGATTGATAAATCAGACATGATGATTGGCACTGCAGAGTGTGTGCGGAAGACATGTAGGTGGACGAAAAAAGTGTTCTTCCATCTTGTGGACATGAGCATGCTGAACTGTTTCAACATGTACCTTGTGAGAACTGGACGTAAGCCCACTTTCCGTGACTTTGTATTTGATGCTGCAATACAGTTATTAGGAAAGTTTGCAAAAGATGTCCCAGGTATTCAGCGGCCCATCATAAACCCACTGTTGCAGCATGCTGGTACTCCACGCCTCGCTCACACTGAAGGCTTCTTAGCACACAAACTTAAGTATTTGCCACCTGGTGTGAAGCGTGCAATAGCCCAACGTGATTGCTTGGTGTGTAAAACAACGACACGTAGAGACAAGAAACGGAAGCTTGTGCAAACATGGTGTGAAACGTGTGGTATCCCATTATGTGCTGTCGACTGCTTCAATGACTACCACAGTCTAGAAATCTTCTAAGTGTGCTTCAAAGTGTGTATAGCGTGTGCGTGTGTGTAAATATATACAAATATAAGCAGAACATATAAAATAATAGACTGTAATGACATATTATATTGCCGTAATTGAAAACATTTGTGTGCGCCTGTGTATACTCAAATATGCAACAATTATTGATACAAAATATGTTCAAACAGTATTTGAAACACAATTAGTGAAAAAAAATTAGATAAAATGCGCTTAGACATTGTAAATAAATAGCGCGAAAATATATTTGTGGCAACTCTGGCTGTTTGAGGACCGCGCGCAACATCTCCCGGGCGTGTACTGCATGAGCGACCATGCAGATTGTGACGTCATCGCAGAGCTTCTCGGCTCTATTGCAACAAAAGTAAGTACAATAGAATTTTTTTTTAATTTTTCCCGTGATCAGTGAACAGAACTTAACAGATTAGCAAAAAAAAAAATTTTTTTTTTTTTCAAAATGACATGCGCCTGTGTGGATAGCAGGATATTAGACCCCGAGCATGTTAAGGGTTAAAGTGGATGACGCAATGCTGCGTCATCCCCGGCATTACCGACAGTAAACGGTTGACGCAATGCTGCGTCATGCCCGGGCGAAAGTGTTAAAAATACATTTTATACACAATACTACTCATATTTTTCATACACCAAATAATTAGGTATATATATAAAGCTTAAAAAAACTCGTGAACCTTAAACTGCACTTCACCTTTCCTGAAGACTCTTGTTGTCACATGGAAGACAATGAGAAGGGATGGAGGGAGAAGCGGTGTTGGTGTATGGGGAGGGTGAGGAGGAGGGGGAAGGTGGTGAGACTGTCCCCTTAAATGCGTTCATATCCGCATCACTTGTTCCAGATTTTCCTTTCGCACATTTCATTGCCTCTGTTATGTGGCAGCCAGTCAGTCATAACATGTCAGTCAAGCATTCACAGGCAGTCATAACCAAAGGCAGTCAAGTATTCACAGTTGTGGTAGCAACAGGTTAGGCATTTAAGGTCAGTCACACATTCACAAGTCAATCAGGCTTTCACAGTCGCAACCAGTTAGTAAACAAAACAAAAAAAAAGAGTTTAATAACAGGTGCTCAGGGAGTCTCCCTCCTGATCCAACCAGCTCCCACCTAGTGACAATCGAGCCTGAATTCTTGGTAAAGAATTACGTTTTTATCAGATTTTTGGATATTTGAATATAAAAGTTGTTATTATATATCTCGACATGGGTCCCAAGAAAGCCAGTGGTAAGGTTCAAGCCAAGAAAACACATGTGAAAATGACCATAGAGGAAAAACAAGAGATTATTCATAAACATGAAAATGGTATGAGGGTTGTTGATGTGAATTAAGAGGATGGCCCTTCCTCATTCATTGAGAAAATGTGTGCAGAGTATTGGAAGAACTGCAAAGTTTTCTGGAAAAGTGTCACCCAAATCAAGCTGTAGCAGACCTATGTGTTAACCTTTTTAATGACGTCTCACTTCATGTGATGTCTCACTTCAGACAAGTGTTACAATGTAGGGAAAAACAAGTGTTGCTAGACAAATTTTTAGTGAGAAAAACAAGCAGTGAGCCACAAGCAGGTCCTAGTGGTATGTAGGCAAAATGTGCCAGGGAGTGTACCCCAGAGAAGTCATCACTGCCTGATGTTATAATGGAAGGGGACTCCCCTTCCAAAACACTAACACCTCTTCTTCTCCCCCCTCCTCACCGTCTTCCATACATCAACAAGAAGCATCAGTAAAGGTAAGTGATAACTTGTACATACTTTAGTACTGAAGATTTGGGTGAATTAGGTATAAAATTTACTTTGAAGTTAACTTTTTGGGGAGTCTAGAATGGATTAATTCAATTTACATTATTTCTTATAATGAAATTTGCTTCAGTTTACGAATATTCAGCTTATGAGCCGTCTCTGGGAACAGATTAAATTTATAAGCTGAGGCGTCTGACAGCTGGGTGGACAGCACTTAGGATTCGTAGTCCTGAGGTTCCGGGTTCGATCCCTGGTGGAGGCAGAGACAAATGGGCAAAATGTTATTTTCACCCTGATGCTCCTGTTACCTAGCAGTAAATAGGTACCTGGGAGTTATCTTTCTTTCACCCTGATGTGTTTGTTACCTAGCATTAAAAATGTAGCTAGGAGTTAGTCAGCTGCTATGGGCTGCTTCCTGGGAGGGGGGGGGGGGGGAACAAAAAGGAGGCCTGATCAAGGAACGGGCCAAGGGGATGCTAAGCCCCGAAATCATCTCAAGATAACCAATGTATGTAAATGTATATATATATATATATATATATATATATAACACATTTTGTTTGCCTGAAATATATTATGGTAATCACTGCTGTTAAAATTTCAGTGGCTCATAGTGTGGCTGCCCTGCATGTTACGAAGGCCAACGTTATGTAGACGTTAATAATGTAGAGCCCATTACTAAGGCCCTAGAAAGAAAGTGAAAGACTCAGGATTTTTTTTCAAGATGGGGGATAGTTGCTGGAGGCCCTGAGGAAGCTGTATACATGTAAGTTTCAAATCTTACAATATACTAACATGATCACATGTCGGCGGGTGCACCAGCACACCCAGTAATATGTTGGCTGGCGCAGTGCTGGGGTTAGTGAAATAAGCCCATAGAGCATGGGAAATATTAAGAGTTTGAACGGTAACTAATCACGTTTCTTATAACTTTCGTAGATGGGTGGAAAATTAAAAGAAAGAGTTGGGACCTTCAGAAAGCCATTGAGCACATTCAAAACCAAATTCTAAAGTTTGTTTTCATTTTGACATTTCCAGGTTTCGTTCACAAATATGGGCCTCTAGGAACAATCTCTGGTTGCAACGAATCTCTCACTGCAATGAACTGGACTTGGTCCAAAATAGTTCATTAAATCGAGGGTGCACTATACTAGCTTACCAGCGACAGAGGATGGCAGGAGATGCAAGTTAGGGACAGAAGAGCATCAGCACCAGTCAAAAGCCTAAGCATTATAAAAGCATGAGAAGGCCAAGGGACAACCATTGATAACACAAATGCCAACAACTGGAAAGACCACAGTACATAGCGGGGGCCATACAGGCCAAAAACCGTGCAGCCTGAAAACATCTGGGAGCGAATACTGGCCAGAATCTACAAAGCAGAAACAAAGTCTGTTGCCAAGCTTGGTAAAAGTTTCTGCCAAACTTTTGCCAAGCTTGGCAAAAGCTTTGCTCTTTTCTCCAAGGAGTGCCAGACAAACCGAGCTATGGTGGATATGTGGGCCTGCGGGTCGCTCCAAGCAACAGCCTAGTTGACCAAACTCTCACAAGTCAAGCCTGGCCATGTGCCAGGCTTGGGAAGTAGAACTCCTAGAACCCCATCAAGCAGGTAACAGCCCAGAAGCTATCAGGTAACACAGCTCAGAATGACCACTAGAGAAGATAACCCTAATTCACAGTTTGAGTGAAATTTATGCAGAGCACATGCAAGGCAGGTGGCACAGAAAACACACTCATGAAACAAGAAATAGAATTAAAAGAAAGCAAAAGTGTGTGCAACACTAAATATCCCAAGGATAGCCAACATGCCTTATCAGATAGCACAAAGATGAAAGCAGGCCCAGTAAAGTTGATTCTCTGACAACACCAGATGAGCATGTTAAGGAGGTGGCTGGCTGGTGAGGACTCCGGTAACCTGGGCTGCCATTTGGTGGCGATCGGATGTATCATGGTTGGAGCATTTTTCCTACAGCAATGAATCTTCCTTTGCCTTGCTTTCCTCAGGATTGCTAATATCCTTCAAATAGTTCCTTCTTTTAGTAGTTGCCTTTATTTTCTGAGTGTTTTTTGCTTTCGTGATTTTGGGTTGATCTCTGATCTTCCAAGGTTCCCTTGACATAAAGAGCACCAAATTCTAGTCCTGGCCTACAAGTGGGGCTCAAAAGCTTTGGTGCAATTCCCTAAAGTTTGATAATTCTAGTGCTTTACCAAGGGAACCTCACAGAGAAATATAAACATAACAAAACAAAACAGTATGCCTACAAGGAATACCTAATATTTCCATGCACAAGTATAGCATCAATCTACATTACCTTAGACATTGTGTCTTCATCTGGTTCTTCTTGAGGGTCTGCCCAATCTACAATGATTTCACATCCCCATACCTTGAACCGTCCAGAACTTAGTCGTCGCTTTGCCAAAGAAGCAGCCTGGAAAAAAATAAAAACATGATTTGAAATTTTCAAGAAATCTGGTGGCAGTAACAAGCTTAAAAACTAGATATTTTTACATCATAAACAACTGAGGAGATATCCCATTTCCGTTTGCCAAGAATATCTAGCAATATAAATGATATCAGAAAATATTCTTTAAAAAACAAATCCTGAACTCATAATAGAAACAATTCTGTTCCTGGTTCTTGTTTTTATTTTGTTCATTTTTATTTTGTTGCTGAGCCATGACCTGGAGCAGCAGCTGAACCAGGGGAAAGAGGTACAGGATCCCCCACCTCGACCAGTTATGCCAAAAAAACGTCGATCCCGATGGCCTCGTAGTCGGGGAAGGGCGCCACGTAAACCGGAAGACACCTCGACCATGCCGACACGAAGAGGTCCACCTCCGGGCGCCCGAACGTCCGGCAGAGCCAACAGAAGGAGCCGGCATCGACCGTCCATTCCGTGGACAGGGGAACGAACCTGGACAGGCCGTCCGCCAGGATGTTGGACACCCGCTGGACGTGAACCGCCAGGAGAGCCAAACCCCGAGAACTCAGCAGACGCGTCACCCGAAGCGACAAACCCCAAAGAGCCAAGGACCGCATCGAACCCCCTCGGTTCCGCCAATGAACCACCGGGGAGCAGTCCGAATGGAGCCGGATCGATCGCCGGATCCGCGGGCGACCCGAACCCTCCGAAGCGCAAACCATACCGCCGCGAACTCCCGCACTATGCTGTGGACCCGAACCCTCCGAAGCGCAAACCATACCACCGCGAACTCCCGCACTATGCTGTGGACCCGACGGAAGGACGGACCCCACCGCCCCTGGCCGGCCTGGTGAGCACTGGTCACAAAACCCCAGCCTAGAGACGACGCATCCATGAACACATCGAGCAAGGGCTTGGGTAGGTGCCAAGGCACTGAACCCCGAAAAACCCGAAGAGGAAGCCGGCGATGCAGCAGCAGACACAAAGGCCCCGGGGGTCGAACCCAGCAATCGCGAGATAGGCGGAAGGAACGTCCCCGAAGGAACCAGAACAGCCGACGAAGCCAAACCGGACCTGGCGCGTAGACCACCATCGCAAAGTTCTGGCTGCCGCACAAACCCTCGAGCAACTGCCGGGTGACCCGGGAGCCCCCCAGAAACAGACACAGGCGAGACCGCAGCCGAAGGAAAGACTCCGGAGGAAGAGACAAGGAAGCGGTCCGAGAGTCCCACACAAGACCCAGCCAGGACCGAACCTGGGAGGGCACCAGATGGAACTTCCGCCAGTTCACCAGGAACCCGAACCCAGCGAGCTGGGAAAGCACCAAATCCTTGGCAAGCAGACACACGGACCGACTGGGAGCCCAAACCAGCCAGTCGTCGAGGTAAGCCAACACCCGAACACCTAACAGACAAAGAATGGCCACCACGACCCGGGTAAGGCATGTGAAGACGCGAGGTGCCAGGTTCAACCCAAAGCGGAGACAACAAAAGCGGTAGCACTGACGCCTCACAACAAAACCGAGCCAGTCCCGGAATCCCACATGAATAGGGACGTACCAATACGCGTCCTTGAGGTCCAAGGACACCATCCAAGCGCCCGGCTCCAACAGAAGCCGGACCTGGGACAGAGTGGTCATTCAAAACGAGGGGCAAGAAACCCAAGGGTTCAGACGAGACAAGTCCAGAATGAACCGCAGGTCCACACAGTCCCGTTTCAGAACTGGAAACAGGGGGGAAACCGACCTGAGGGACGGAGTCATTTCGACCACGCCCAAGTGTACCCATTACAAGATGACCCGATGGAGCGCAGAAGAGGAAGCCTGCCCCGTCAGCCCCGAACCTCCCGCAGGAGGAGGAGCCACCCAACGCCACTGCAGGCCACGAGAAACGACCCGAAAAGCCCACAAATCGTGAGACCAGGCATGAGCGAACAGAGATCGCCTCCCCACCCATCGCCTGGTCAATGAGGCGAACCGCAAAAGGGCCGCTGCCCCTTACGAGAACCCGACCTGCGCGCAGAGCAAACACCGCTCCGACCAGGCACAGGTGGGACCCCAGGCGGCACCGGCACCGAACCCGACACCTGTGGCCCACCCCAACGAACGGAACTGCGCGCCCTGGTACGACCCCGCCAGGAAGGAACCCCCTGGTTCCCCCGGAGAACCAACAACTCAGACATAGGGCGGCAAGAGGAAGAAGCTGCCTGAATATAACGCTCAACTGCAGAAGCCTCAAAAAGCAGTAGACAAAAGGGAGAAGACAACCTAAGAACCAGGGCCCAAGCGGATTCCAAAGAGGAAGCAAGGACCGCCTGACGACACGTGCAGTGAAAAACAGCAGCAACGCCTCCCGCAGGATCGGCACAAAAAGCTTCAACGTGGCAGATGACGCCCGAGCAGCTGAGACCAAACCATCAGACCCCGGAACGGCCCCAACCGCCTCAACATTCTCCGCAAGCCAATCCGAGGATAGCTCCAGGAGGGAAAAGAAACGCAGGACCGAAGCCAAAAAGCCACGAGCGTGCAAATCCTCCGCCACAAGAGCAGCCGATAGGGAAGGAACCTGCATATGGAGCTGCACCGCACCAACATCCCGCAGAAGGACAGGAGCGAAAAGACACTCATTAAGGTGCTCAAAATTGCCCCCCAGGTAAACCTGGACCACCGTCAACGCCTCACGCCACTCAAACGTGCGGGTTCGACAGAACAAGTCCCAAGCATCCAGCGAAAACAAGGGGCAGTCTGCAAGCCAGGACGACCCCGGAACCTCATAACGCACCCAGTAAGGACACGACGATCCAAACCTGAAAGAAGAAGGATCCATTATGGAGGCGTACTCCGGGTCACGCAGGAGGTAAGCCGCAAAGGCCGACCGCACCTCAGGCGGAGAGATGCGGGTAGCCGAAAACCTCCGGAAAGACGGAACCGAAGAATCCACAGGGACACGGAACCGAACCCGGGGAGGAGCAGAACCCAAGTCCAAATCGTACGCAGAGGGGGGAAAGGAAAACCCCACTCCTTGCAACAGTAAGCCCCGCTCAGAAGGACGGAAAATCCAGGCGGGGTCCAATGGAGCCCAAGGCCCCCAAGTCAGCTCCTCCCCAACCCCAGGAGCCTCTACACCAGGCCCCGGGGCCGAGCCGTCCTCCAAAGCCCCGGCCTCACAAGAAAAAGCCGGGGCAGCTGAAAGCGCCGGAAGAGAAGGGGCCCACTGGTCAGACCCCGGAGCAGCGGCCGGAGGAACAGACTCGAATGCCTCCATAGCCCCCCCGGACGGGGCAACCCCCGAAACTGCCCGAGTCTCAGAAACCTCTAAACCCCACCCCAAAGCTCTCAGACACTTAGGGGCCGGAAGCAGGGTGGAAGGGGAACAGAATGAACCACCGAAAGGGAAGAACAAGGGGGCGCGGACGGAACCAAGGCCGAAGTGACCAACACCCCCAAGTCCGGGTCCCTATACACAAAGCGGGGCAGCCTCGGGGCGTCCGGGGAAGCGACAACCCGAGCGCGTTGCAATAACCTAAACCTACCTTGCAATGCACGAGCTGCCTGCACCCGAAGTAATTCATCAGCAGACTGGGTGAATTGAGTCACGAACAAGCAACACAGCTCGCAGGACTCGGGGTCGAATGTGTCACCGACCCAACAGGCAGCATGACGGAGGCAAAAACAATGAGAGTCACCCTGAGACAAGGGGACAGAGCAACCCTCAAACTCGCACACAGCGAGAGGGGACGCAAGAGTCTCCTCCATCGGACCCAAGAGCCCCCACGGGGTTTCCCAGGGGCCCCTAGACTGGGTCTGCTAAGGGTTATCCCAGGCAGGGCACTGCTAACCGGCACCCCAAACTACCAAGCAATCTGCTAAAAGCTGAACCCACGGGACGTGTCCACTCGCGAGGGCGAAGCAGGGGGTGCCACCACACAAACGACCCTAATATAAGGGGAGGGAAAACACAAGGCAGACCCCCACCAGGCAAAAAGAAAAAGAAAAGAAAAAACCACCCAAGTGGACAACGTACCCAGAGGGAACAGAGCTGGCCGCTGTTATAGGTGAAAACTAGCTACGCAGTACCCTGCGCCCCACCAGTGCTATAACTACCACTTACCCCAAGGCAAACAAGGGAGGAAAACCCCCAAACACTCGGGGCGGCCAAACGCCAAGCAGCGAAAAGCCAACAGAGGTAGACCCAAGGTGACTTGTGGAAGGCAACCCCAAGCCCCAAGGGCGGTACTTACAGGGCACTCAGGGAAGGTGACCCTAAGCACATGCAGCCCGAGTACCTGAGAATACTACTCCCAGCTCACACGACCACCGTAAGAGCAGCACTGAAAACAAGTCACAGCACTGAGACAAGACCAGAGCTGGAGCCACACGACCATGCACGATCCCATCAGCCGAGGAACTGAGGTGTGGATCGCCGGCTCGGGGGTCTGGGGCTCCCCCTGCCCCCTCCCAGGGAGGGGGGAGCTGCGCAGACATGCGGCACGGCTCGTGTGACGTCATGCTGGTTTGCTCGTTTTTATTTTGGGGAGTTCTGTCCACTCGTTTGTCAATTTTTGTTGTTAACCAGAATAGGGGTTTGTTTTGTGGCGCTTACCTTTCTGGGTGCCTGTCCCGGTCGATGGCAGATATAGAATGCTCCAAATCACATGTACATTTCTATGAGCCATTGCTCCCCGTGCCTCTGTGAGAGGGGCCAGGTTCTGGCTCGTGGTCCCCGGTAGGCTAGAACTCCACCCACATTGACTGATGCAAAATAGTTAGGATATCCATATCAGCCATGGATAGCTCCAGTGTGTGGTAGGGGAGCCGTAGGGGCTCCCCCCCAGAAAAATATTATATTTTATTTATTTATTTATTTATTTATATATATATATATATATATATATATATATATATATATATATATATATATATATATATATATACACACACACACACACACACACACACACTTAGGTAATTACACACACACACACAGTGGTACCTCGGAACACGAGTA